ATTTTCTTACGGCTCTGTGTATAGCAGATTGAGACTGACCACGACATTCTCTCTCATACCAGTGATGGCACGGCTAGCAGAGGCCCCCCGGACAGCACACACAGTAACATGAGCGTGCTGGATCTGCATCAGCTCGAGAAACCTGTTCATGAAGAGGATGAGTGGCCTCAGAAGCCTCTAGCGCAGCCACTGAAGCTCGACGCGTGGACGTCTAAGGCACAACGTGAGCAAGAAACGTTCCATCGATACGTTGAAAAACATGGCCCTGATATCTGGAGCACTGTGTGGAACGGTATCTGGACAGGTGGCGACGTCAAAGAAGTGCAAGATGAAGACGGCGAAGTCATCATGACGGTGTAGAATCAAAGGTCAGTTGGGTGAATGAATTGAGTGCCTAAAGATGCAGATCTAGCGGATCGGAGAACCAGCAGCGGTGGTAACGTCTTGCTGTTGCTGTTTGTACACACTAGTGAGGAGTTTTTCACGCTTTTTAGGCTGCTTGTACAGCGCGCAATTGTTAGCACACGGCTGCGTCGACCCGGTCTTAGCACACGAACAGAGAGCTGGAGTTCCGAGTTGCGCTTGCAGAGCTCGCAGGAAACGCTCATGCTCTCTCGTTGTTGATTGAACTTTGTTGCCCTTTGCAGCCTTTTTTCTCCATGGCGTGGATGATGTGGTGGTTTGACGATGCACTCGAACGTCACAGCCCGACGTCATATCGATACTGCGAAGAAAATTTGCCACGTTGGATAAAAGTACAAACAGATCGAGTGGCTTACGTACACTGTAACTCCAGTAGAAGTCGTACTGCCGTGTTCTTTAATGCTATCGTCTGAATTGTCGCGAGTTCGCCTGCTTCGACCAGCTGTTGGAGATTTAGACACCGGACACTTCTTGTTTGTTTGAGAATCTTCTCGCCAGTCGCTTTTAACTTGAGCACGATTCATTTCCATGTATTGCCGGCGCACTGTTGCGTACAGAGCAACACGCTGCAACACAGAAGGAAGCGATAAGCATATATCTCAAGCATACTGACAAAGTTACGTACCTGTTCGGGGAGCAAAGCTGGTGCTACAGCCGACTCGCTTATAACTTGACCTTCATCACTCCCATATTCGTCGTTGTTGGATATTTTTTGATAGCTCGAAGGTTCAGTAGATCGCAGTAGATCATCTCGGATCTTGGCATCTAAACGCAACATCTAATACCACATTTTCACAGCGATGAAGAGAGGGAATGCTTGACTGTCACCGACCGTTTCTTACCTTTTCAATGTGTTTTCCTAACGGGCAATCCTGGAATGAATAGGCAACAAGAAAACTTTAATTGCCACGCCACAGACACAGCATGGTAATTCGTCTGACAAACCTTGAGAATGGCTTTCTTGTCTTTTATCAATTTCTGAAAGTACGGACGAGTTGAAAGTCGTGTGGCCACAGAGTTCCCAGTTGGCTGTGTCTGCACTGTAGTTGAAAACACTTTTGCACACTTCGCATCCTACACGAACCCATCAAGTCAGATTATAGATTCACTATAAAAGTTAGAAAACTTCATGAATATCACTCACCAAATTCTTCTGCGCGCGCTGGGCTTCAAGTCGATTTTGACGTTCTCGCTCCGTCACGCGCTGACAAATTTTGTCATGGAATCGTTTTAGCTCGTTCGACTGGGCACGCAGCCGAACTTCGGCTGCGTGACGCATTGACTCCGTTTCAGCCTGATCATTAACCGCTCAGCTTTTGCTTTTACAGCTTTCGTAAGAACTCACTGAACGCTTACCTCCACATCAACCATACCGAGATCGTGCCAGTGATCATCCTCATCAATGTATCTGTAATTTCCAACGCTGCAGCTCTCAGAACAATTTGTTACAAATAAAATAACAGCAACCTTTATCTTACTCATCGTCTGACGAGTGCGAAACTGCTACCTCTCCAGCTAAAATGTAGGCTAAACCACTCAACAACAAAAAAGCACCACTGTTATGATCTGGTGTATCGTAAACGAGAATGACATGCGAGCGCACCATTTATTGGCGGGATGACTGTGTCCTCTCCAGCAAATCCATTCATTTTCGAATAGAAAGAGAGATCCGCAAGTGTTCTCGAAAAGACGCATTTCCAGAACATGGCTACACTTGAAAGGGCGTACGTACAGTGATCGACAGGATCCCGGGACGACAGGAGATCTACATGCGTTTGACACAGTTTTACCATGTGCGCGATCCCATGGAAAACCTGCTTGTTGGCGTGACCTTGCGCAAGGTGTGGTAAGGATATCATTTTAAGGAAAGTCGTTTGTAGAATCTTATAAGTGCAAGGAATTGTAGATCTCGGGATTTGGAAGCGATAACTCAGTACCGGTAGGGAAAACGTGGACGTACAGCTTTCAGTGGCAAGAAAAAAAGCTCAGTATAAGGTATGTCTATCTCATTGAGCGATATAAAGGATAGTGGGGTTGCAGTACTAAACGTTTATGGGGTCGCTCAAGCGAGAAGAAGCGAGAGCTGGATCGTCTCGAAGCAGGAGAAATCCTTCGAAAAGTACGATAGCTACAGAATTTTTGTTTTTGTGTACCCTCTGATGAATTTAGTTTTTATAATTATATTCTAGCGTCAAGATGAAGAACCACTTGAGAGTGGCAACGCCGACGTTTTGTATTCATACGTCGATGTTGATGATTTTATTCCCGAGGAGGTATGTGCGTTGAAGAAGTTTTTACATTGTGCGGCGAGTTTTTTTTATCGATCCACCGACTACAAACCACGCAGTATGCAAAAGACCCGCCAACTACTTCGAAAAGTAGCGTGACGCATCTCATTCCCCCAGATCTTACGCGACGACCTCGGGACAAGCGGCTTGAAGCTTCGTGGACGTCCAATCAACACCGTGCTTGGCTTCGAGCCAACCGCGAAGATGAATTTCGTGCCATGCACATTGTTGCTCTTATCGAAGGCGTCGAGCGTGTACTTTGCTCTCTTCGATTCTACAAGGAGACTGGATTATTCTGTGCTACACCAGGGTTTTCGGCACCAATCGTCGATCCAGAAAATGACCCAGATCTACTTATCAAAGGCCCCAAGCTGTCGACGTACCATATATCGACTCCTGGCGGCTCACTCTATGAGTATGTGCTAGACAGCATGCATGACCTTCTTCCGCTTGCTTCTTCCGAAGACCAAAGACTTTCTCGAGACATTCGCTTGCAAGAGGAGAAGCGCGACTTTGCGGAGGTGTCTCGATGGCAGCTACTGAGTCAGGATCCAAAGTTATCCGAAGCAAAAAGTGTTGACTGCAATATGCAGCGGAAGATGATGATATCGCTGGAAGTGGCTGCGGTCGATAATCCGCAAACAACTGACTCGATCTTTGTGGAGTATGAGCTTGAGCTACCCGGTCGTGCTGGACACTCTCAGTGGAAATTACAGCCTGGTAATTATACTAGGAAGCGTGGCAAAACCCCGTTATCGTTACATCAGCGGTCCGAGTATCCTGGGTGTTTGACTTCCGTAGCGTTTGGGTGGCATCAGCACTTCAATCTGAAACTTGTTAAGGATGAAGCATTAAATGGCGCAGACGAGGGGGATGACGACATTGTTCCGTGTCCAGTCCTCCACTTAAGCGTGTATTCTCGAGATTCGTGGCGAAGGAAAAGAACACAAGGCCATGGTGAGATAAAACTAGGGAATTGCTCCGGATTTTACGATTCCGACGTTCCTATTCGCAAACCGATTACCTCCATTAGTGACCGGATGGAAGAACTCTTTCTGGGCATCGATGAAAGTATTGAAGATGTCGAGCTCACAAGAGGTCAATTGCGGGAGGTTAATACCGACGATTCTCCTTTATCCACCATGATTACGAGTCGACTAGGACAGAAATCGGAATCCACTGGCACAACGGTTCGAGTTCGCTGCAACATCGTCGACCTACAGCCATCGAAGCATCCTAGTATTGGACGGCTATCGTCTGCACCAATGACTACATCCGTAACAAATACTCGCATTGTAAAGCGAAGCGTCCAAGAAATTCTGCAATCGGTTAAATTAGAAAAACGACTAGCGAGTATAACAGACCCCCGTATTCAGGCGGCACTGCGCTCACTACCAATAGACAAAAGTGATCTTGTTTAGAACCCTTAGTTAGCCTAATGTATTGGGAGGAATCAGTCATCATCGCTGTCTAGATCGTCCAGAGGGTTACCGCTACGCTTCTTCATGACGCGAAAAAACTCCTCTTCGTTGATGAAGCCGTCTCCGTCGTGGTCGGCTTCATCGATCATCTCCTGCATCTCTTCGTCCGTCAGATTTTCTCCCAGCTCGGTGCACACGCGCTTCAAGTTTCGGAACGAGATTTTGCCCGTGTTGTCGTCGTCAAAGAGCTGGAAGATCTTCATAATTTCCTCACGCGAGTCTCGCGAGTTCTAGATCGATATAAATACAAACACAATGAGCTAATTCTTCGTGTTGCCGCTTTTGTTTGTCCTTTTCCAGTGCAGCTTACCATTTTCCCGGTCATCATCTCGATAAACTCGTCCAAGTTGATCGTCCCCGACTCGTCCTTGTCAATGTCGGCGATCATCTGGCGGATCTCCGCCTTCTTCACTTGGAAGCCAAGCGCTCGCATCGCAGCCTTCAGCTCGCGCACGTCAATGCTGCCACTGCCGTCCGTATCGAAGAGATGGAAAGCCTCCTTGATCTCCTCTAAATCCTCTTCGTCCAATACCTTTTTCACCGGTTTAGGCTTGCGTCGCAGAGCCGCACGAGATCGCGCGAAAGCTGAAGCGGACATGGCACTCGACTGCAGCAGACACAGCAATTAGCACATTCATATCGTCCACGTTGCGAGGCCTCCAGCAGCTTACACGTTCCATCCCTCCTTGGTGCAGAATGCAAAGTGTCCGTTACTTCAGATTACGACCTTTCAGATCGCACTTCAACATGGCATAGATTTATGGATCTAGAATATCTCAGGATTTGTTACTTTTCAGAAATCGGACAGTTTCTAAACATTAGAATTTTGGTTTACTCTAAATTCTGAAGATCGCGTACTATTTTCGTGACACTTGCGTAAAGTATCACTCTTCAGCAACCAGTTAGCGAGTTCTCCCACTACATGACAATGCTGGGTGCCGCGTCGAAGCGCATGCGTCTAAGCACGATGCGCACGCTGAAGGCTTACGACAAGAGCGAGCACCGCGTGCTGGTCATCGGCGGCAACGGCTTCGTGGGCAGCAACATCTTGCAACGCGCCGTACAAAAAGGAATCGAAGTGCGCAGCCTCAACCCGTCGGGCAAGCCGCAATGGCAGGACGTGCCCTGGATCGACCAGGTGGACTGGCACGAGGGCGACGTGTTCGACGAGAAGCAACTGGCAAAGGCAGTGGAGGGCGTCACGGGCGTCAGTACGTTTAGTGGAAGAGCGCGTTGAAGATGATCGTGTACTGACTTTAGGGCTTTGGATCACAGTCTCGACGGTGGGTGCGTTCGGCAGCAATGAGCTCATGGAGAAAGTGTGCGGAGACGCTACGATTGTGGCGGCGAGGGCAGCACAGAAAGCGGGAGCGGAGCGCTTCGTGTTCGTCTCCAACTCGCGCGTAGGCTCGTACTACCCGTCGTGGCTGCCTATGTATGGCTATTACCATGGCAAGCAGAGAGCCGAAAAAGCTGTGCAGTCGAGGTGACGCAGAGAAAACGTTTAGGCTTTTTACTTTGCTGCTAACTACTGTATTGTATTGGTTTTAGATTCCCCAGCACAGGCGTGGCGCTGCGTCCGGGTTTCATCTACGGCTGGAGACGCACTATAAAGGGTCGAGGGATTCCGCTGCAACTTGCAGGGGCGCCAATGTCACTGCTGGCGAGAGACCTTGGTGCAGTTTCAACTGCTCTAAGCTACATGCCGTTCTTTGGAGAGGAAATGCGAGCTGCGATTCCTGTTGGTGTAGTCGCAAAAGCTGCTGTGCTCAATGCGATTGGTCCAGTCCACGGACACACGTTGGATACGACCAGTATGCTGGAGTTGGCTGCGTCATTCCACATCCACGAGGAACAAGATTAACGATGAAAAAATGAGTCGAGCACAAATTCGGAAGTGATAAATCTAACATTCCTCGCGGCAATAATTATCAAGCTCCTTGTGGCTTCTACTGCTTTACTCTATCTGTTGGCCATCGCTTGGGCTGTGTATTTCATTCCTATAACGCCAATCTTCTTCTTGCGTTCCTCAGCTTCACGCCGTCGCTTCTCCAGTTCGTCCGTTCGATCTTTCCAGTATTGCTGTCACATAACTAGATCGTCAGATAGAGTTCTAGAGACCGGAACTTTTAAGACTTGCACCTCTTTTTGCTTCTCTTGCTGTTTCTCCAGTTTTTCCTTTAAGCTTTTGGAATCCTCCTCACATCGTTCTGCTTGGTCGGCTAGACACAGCTCTTCCAACGTCTGCACCCAGAGATCTCGGACAGTCGTCGTTTCTGCTGTCAGCTCAAGCAATTTCTGCCCACTTTGTCCGAGAAGCACCAGGTCAAGACGACCTGCACAAGACCCAGTGCATTAGAACTCCTGCAAGTGCTTGGTGTAAACGTCGACGTACCCATCGGACATACTTTGCCAATCCTGTAAACTGGCAACTCTTCAGAGCTACTTGGACCGGGTGTTTGTCGCCACATCAGCCTGCCACGAAGAAGCAAATTGCATTAGACTGGTTGTTTGCAAATCTGATTTATAAAAAAGAATATCACCTTGCACCCGCAGAATTTAGCTGCAAGTGGACGTTTTCAGTACGACTGAGTACCCCAAGGAAAGCGCTCTTTTTCTTGAAATCGTTTCCTTCTTTGAGCAGCTCCTGCCGAGCCAGCATCTCTGAGTTACCACCGCCGCAGCACACGTTGCCCATGGTCACCGCAAGTGTTGTCTTTTTTTTAAAGGCACCAACCCAAAATACTACAGTAAAAACGACTACCAGAATGTCTCGCCAATTTGCTGATGTTTGACAACAAAACAAACGATCAACATGTATTTGTTTCTCAAAAGATTTGAGAAATTGGAAAATGTAAACGACAATGGGCAGCTTCTCTCGCTACTTCTTTCTACGACACTGGCTACCAGCGGACAAATAGCGAAGAGTCTTCCACGTCTAACGACGCAGAGTTCTCTTGACAGCACAACCGCCACCGGAAGTCGGGGTGGAGCTTGAACCCCAAGGAGAGCGCTTGGTGGCATCACCAGCTCCACTCGGCGAGCTACTGCTGGTGGGTCCTGCGGATCCTTCACTGCCTTCGGTGTCGGCGCTGCCGGTAGTGTCGGTACTGGCTCCAGTGTTAGAGCTCTCAGTAGTGCCGGTGGCACCTCCACCCTTGGTCGCGTCAGCAGCTCCATCATCAGAGCTCTCGGTGGTGTCTTCAGCCCCGCCCTTTGTCGCGTTTGCAGCTCCAGTGTCAGAGGTTGCGGTGGTGTCATCAGCCCCGCCCTTGGTAGCGTTAGCAGCTCCATCATCAGAGCTCGCTGGAGAGCCTCCCCTCGTAGCGTCAGAGGCTCCAGACGCACCAGCCGCCGAGGAAGTTCCGCTTGCACCACCTTTCGAGGCGCAAGTCGTGGCCTTTCCGGGTGTAGTCGTGAAAGCAGTCACCGTGAAGTCCGGTTTACCGCCCTTCTTCCACGTGCAGCATGGGTCACCGAAAGCGGCACCATTGGTCATGCTCGAGCCAGGAAACTTGGCCTCACACAGACTTTTGGACCACGTGTGACCGGCGGCAGCAAACGCTTTAGCAAAATCCGTCGTCTTGGAGCTGTCGCTGCCAGGGTGTCCGAGAGGTTGCTGGAAGAGACTGCCGTTCGGGAGTTCGTCGAGGTACTTGGCGAGGGCGTAAGCCGAGTCCATCGTCGCAGCGATGGTCAAAGCAGCGGTAGCGATGAATACTTGAGTCTTCATTCTAGCGGTCTTGCGTTAATTCCGGAGGTGTTGGTTTTGGTGGTGCGAGGCACTTGAGAAGTGACAGGTTTGTGTTGGTTTCTTTCGAATATCAGTGAAATGTGCTGGTAACACATTTGCCACGTACTCTACGGATAAAATTGAATCGAGGATCGATCGATGTACAGTCGTGCACCTCGTATTCGGCGGGGTGGACCATATAGAGTCTACGAGCTGCGAATATTTATAGAGGAGCAGATGGAGTCCAAAAGTACTACTTTGTATTACCTTAAATAAGTACAAATCATAAGTCCATCTTCGACACAATACCAGTGTGATTCCAACAGTTTCGTATGGTCATTGTCGATACGTCTTGCCAACCTTCTGAGCACCACTTCATCGCTGTATAAATATTGACGGGGGTATACGTCTCGCCTTTGTAAAACAGAGACAGTGTCCATGATGGCTCTGTGGCTGCCTTCCTGCACAATGTTTGCTTATTGGCGAGATTCAACGTAGAATAGGCGGACGGGCGACGTGCCATGGCATTTTGCGACAAAATTTATAATGAGCTGTTGTATGGTGAAGTGATTGAGCTGATACATCGTGGCGGAAGTGCGGCGTTTCATCCCTCCTTGAGGTTATTTGGTCCAAAGGAGATGGGCAACTCATTTGCGCAATGCATGTGGCCCAATCATTAGATTGTGCAGGTTATTAAGCCATACCGGGGCCGAAAACGAGGTGCACGACTGTATTATACAACACCATGTTGAGCCACAAAACTGTGGTGTGCTCGATTTTCCATATCTGGGGATGGGACGTTAAATGCATTTTACTTAATACTGGTACATGTAAGTCTGACGTGTACATGTAAGGGCATCTCCACCGACATTTGCGTAAAATTATGCGTAAAAGTTGAGGTGGCGCTCAAAGTTTAAATCAAACAGCAAAATGATGAGGCGGGCGCATCGCACATCGCGTTGACAATCTTTGGCAATCACAACCACATGTGTATTTTACGGGTGATACAGTGAAAGTGGCTACGTACACAGTAATTAAAAGGGGCACTTTTAGCCTAGAGTGGGACTCGTACAGTGGGCCGGTGTATCCCCTATCCGCGCAGATGGGCCAGGGCCCCGTCTGATTGTGAAAACCAGTGGCTGTGTCGGATCCCCCCATTTGCTCCATTTTGCTCCCTAGCGATGTCGCGCCGACCAACCCACCGCCGCGCCCGCAGGCTCCCAGAAAGCTTCGAGGACAGCGAACGTACCAGGTTTGTCATATTTACATATCAGACAGCGCCACAGGCTCAGAATTCGAGCCAATTCGAGAGTATAACTAACGTTTTTTCGTACTGTGTAGCTGTACTCCGTGCGTACTGCGACTCCGGTTAAGACGCGGAACGACAGGATCAAAAAGAACCAAACATCGTGCAAAAGAATTCCCGAGGAATTGGAATTCTACAACAAAACGTTCGTGTGTACACACCACGGCAGTCCACGGCGCAGCAGAAGTGCTGGAAAGCGTCCCAAGCAGCACTCGAGGAAGATTGGTTGTCCAGCTCAGGTGGGGTTTGTTCTGTTTCATGCCGACGCCGAGGATTGTAACTCTGAAACGGTGCTTGTGGTGCCTAGATTAATGCCTGTGTTAGGGATACAGGAGACTGGGAAATTTGCATTACGAAGCAGATCACTTCGCATAACCATGATCTCAGCCCAGAGTCGTACGAGGCGTACCACGAGGCTCGACAAGTCTCTGACGAAGAAGAACTGTCAACTGTGCGTACACTCCATCGAGCCGGGGCTGATAGAAAGAGGATCCTCGAATACATTACCGAGAATACGACCGTTGAACCGACGATGAAAGACGTCCACAACCTGGTTGCTAAGCTGAAGCGAGAGTCTTACAATCTGCCATCTCTGGGGGGCGTATTAAATCCATTTTGGAGGATTTTTCTACCAAGCCCGGGAATGTCGCTCGGGTCTTTTCAAACGAGGAGGTGAGAATGAGGTTAAATTTCTAATTACGCTTAGCTATTAATGGTTTGGGATCTGTGTCTTTGCAGGAAATAGTCGAGTGCATATGCATTCAGTCCGCACACATGCGGCAAATGTTTGGACACTTTCCGGAGGTGCTGATGATAGACGCTACACACGACACCAACTCATCAAACTATAAGTTGTTCAGTTTTATGATTCACGACGCTATGGGGAAGGGACAACATGTTCAGGTACAAAATCAAACGAATTCTCTGTAATTACGACCCAGTCTTAAACTGTGCACAGTTTTTAATTATTCACTGATACTTTTAATTGCCTATACACAGCACAGCTTACTGCAAAACGAGAGAAAGGAAACGTTGCGATTGGCGTGTGTTCAGTTCAAGGAGACATGTCCGTCATATGATTCGCTAGCTGCCATTATCGTGGATAAGGACTTCACAGAGCTGGCTGTTCTGGAAGAGGAGTTTCCTGGCGTTCGTATTCTGCTGTGCCACTTTCACGTTGTTAAGTATCTACAAGAGGAGGTCGCCAAAGACAAGTACAACCTGGACGCGTACACGAAAAAGGAAATGAAACGATTGATACAGCTGCTAATTAGTACACGGTCGGAAAGGAACTACGACGATGTGATCTTAACGATGAAAGTAGTATTGCGATCTGAAGCTAAAGTGCGTCTATGGTTCGACTATTTCGATCGGAATTGGACGAACTGCAAGAATCAGTGGAGCTCTATCTATCGTGGGAACGTCCCGCACATGGGAAATCGTACCAACAATCGACTTGAGTCCAGCTGGCAGAAGTTGAAAACGCTGGTGAATCGATCGACTGCGCTGGATGATTGCGTCGTCTCTGTCTTGTTTTGGCAAACTGTGAAGGAGAAAATGTGGCTGCGGGTTTTTAACAAAATTGGCGTGAACATGAATGCGCAATACGATGCGGAGATGAATGCTTTGTCAAACACTGTTTCGGATCACGCTGTACAACTGATTAAGCAACAGTACGACTTTGCTCTTTTATCCGCGACTAAATATCGCTATTATCCCATGGGCCCCTACATCATGATGCAGTACGCTGCTGATACTGATGAGGACATTCAGGAAGAGTACATGATGAATCCACACGCGTGGACTTGCTCGTGTATTTTTCGCGTGACGAGGCTTCTTCCGTGTCGCCATATCATATACTATCGAAAGACAATTGGCTGCACCGATATCGTTCCTGAAAGCATTCTTTATCCGCGTTGGGTGGTTCAAAACTACAAACAGCTGAGAAAAGAAACGGCTGAACCGGTGGAGCTCCCTTACGAAGACAGAAAAATACCCAATCCATCGTGTGGACGTGCCAAGTCGCAGAACGAAAAGTTCAACGAGCTGCTACATATAGGCAAGCAGGTTGCTGACGTTGGAGCTACTTGGGGCACCACAGCGCACGAAAAATTGAAGCAGGAGTTGCTGAAGATTTTTGATGCTGTTCGGATCGGCCAGTGTCCTCGTGTGACGTCAGCCAGCCACCATCATGATAATACTGAGTTGGTGTCCACCGAAGATAATAGTTTTGATTCGACACCTGGATCACAGTTTGAAAACGTAGTACAGTCTGAGACTGTACTCGACCACATCAACATGTTTGAAGCCACTACTCGCGATTTGTCAAACCAAGACATCGAATTGCAGCAGCGCGAAGAGGAGGACGTCGTGTGCGTAGACCTGAACGAGCGCGCTGAATCCCGGCGTGATGAAGAATCTCATTCCGAATCTCGGAGTGCTACACAGTCGGATACACGT